GAGGGGAAATCTTTCAGTGGGGACATTCTAGTCTCTCTATTCAAATAAAAAAAAATAATTACATTTACTTAAAAAAAGGTATACTGTGTAATATATAATAAACATGTAATGAGGTGTTCTCAAATTTGACTGCAAAAGAGGAAATACACTTTAAGGTGTTTAAGTTTTCAGTGATAACATTGCTAAATATACTAAGTAGCTGCACCAGTGGAAATGCATTCATACATTTCTGCTTTTGCTTTGCTCTTTGCTGCAAGCTTACTGAATATTTTTGGATCATAAGTATCCCATCTGCTACTGTACATAAAAAAGCTGATCACATCAGATTAGCGTTCGCGATGTGCATGTTTCTTTTGGTTGTCTATTTCTGTTTCCAGTGCAACCCCACCTTGAACTCTAACAGAAGGTGCTATGTTTCAGCGAGATAAATTGGGATACTTTTAGCCAAGTTCCTGAGATGATTTAATAGCATGTGACATACAACAAAAATTATTGGTTTGGAGTAACAAAAAACAATAACTAAAATGACCTGATATAAATAAATAAATTAAAAAAAAAACACTTACAAGGTGCAAGATTTGTACATATTTCAGAACAATAAATAAAGCAAGATTTAAAGGAAAGAATGAAAGCCTATTTTGACAGTAAAATTGCCTTTGTAAACAGATTGTGTTAATACTTTAGTAAAGTCTTTCAACCTTGAAAAAAGCAAAACACATTCAGTTGTAAAAATCTGACACTGCCCATGCTTAACTCTTTCACCGCTGGAGCGATTTAACCTTTCATCATTGAGAGTATGTTTTGGTAAAAGTGAAAAATGCACTTTTTCAGTATTTTTATATACATATTTAACACAATCGTTCCTAATAGACTGACTGTCTATTTTCTTAAAATTGGTTAAATAAAATACTAAGGGATAAGTTTAGGTTTTGATATGGACACTCATAAATAATAATGACCAAATGTAACGGAACCGACCCAGTCTGCGCTTGGGTACTTCCATTATAATACCGCTTCCCCGTCCGGACACCGATCACAGACACCACAGCCGACCAAACAAGACTAGGCGACCCCGTCTGTTTGAACATGGAACTCTTTATTTGAAACTCGAACTGGCTTTTTATTCACTCAGGGGACAATCCCCCCTCCCTGCATAATGACACAGGGCAGGGCAATCTACACTTAGCAACAAGAGACACGCAGGTATTCAAACTTCACACCAGCAGACAGTCCCATCAGGAGGGAGGGCTGCTGGAGACACCCCCCCCCAAGCTAATACACATAAACACATACATCCCATAATAGTTTGCTCCCAAGCAAGACACACAATAGAACAATGGGCTGCAACTACATGGCATTAAACAATCAACAACCCCCCACCCCAATATGAGGACAGATCACCCTGTACCCCTAACAGGCACAGGGTGACTTACACATAATAGGGAGATGAGGAGCTGAGACAGGGATCTCCCCGCCTCTCTAAAGTGAGCTGGGTTCCATGAGCCCCCCACCCAAAGTGACAAAGATATGACCAAAGAAGTTATTTTTTTAGCCATATACCACTGTTTTAACTGGTCATTTAGGGTTTAGGGTCTGTTCACACCAGCGAATGGTGTGCAGTGCGGTTTGGCCAAGATCAGCACAGTGATGATGTGCCAGTCTCAGCATATCACACTGTTCCCTTTATTTAAACAAACTTTGTTGGGATGTCAGTCAGACATCTCATAAAGTTCAAGTGCCAGCCATGTGGTGTGAAACAGTGGATTGCCTCTCAGTTGCCTGCACTGAAAAAAGTACTGCTTGCCATACTTTTTTTCAGCACACACTTCCCACACACCACTACAACACAGTGGTGTAAACCGGGCAGATAAGGAAACAAGGAATTTTACCTTGTCATGTGGTGGGGCTGCACTGGAACAGTGGCCCAACGCACCTGGTGTAAATGGGTCCTTATTCAGTTACATTAGTAATCGCATGTGGTCCAACTCCTGCTATCTCAAAGCACATACAGTAGACTTGTCAAAAGGCAATCAGAGCTCTAAATTTCTGCTGTACTACAACCTATCTTTCTGAAGCTCAAAGTAGATCTAAATCCAATCACTATAATATTTTATAAGTATTAATATATAAAAATATACCATACTAATGCCATTTAAAAGTTGTTAAAACTGTTTAAAATAAGAAGCCATTATTAAAAAAAAAGCTGGTCACCCTGGTTGAAAAAACAACCAGCTATGCTGACACACATTTCACAAGTATGGACTACTGTTGTCACTGTCAGGAAGCCATTCCACAACACATGATGTGCAGCCAATGCTGAAGCAAATGTTTGTAGACAGGAAGTGGCTGAAAGAAGTTGCAGGAGCTCTGTGATGAAAAAATTGTTGTAAAAAACACAGTACCTAAATAGGCCAGACAGATGCTATGACTTCACTTGGACAGGTTAGCCAGATTTGTAAGCAGACACACCAACAACGATAGTGATCGATTGTCATGCTGCAAAATAACCCATTCTTATTTAGCAAGAATTATCTTGTACAATTTGAAATTACATGGTGCAAGTCTATGACATAACAAGGATATCTAGGCTATCTAAATTTCTAAATTGACTTTTTTTTTTCAAACATAGGGTAACTATCCAGATGTGATCCGATATGAGCAATATCCCAATGCCCCCAAAAAAACTTAAGTAGCAGTACATCATTCAGCCATTTTTTATTAACTAGCAGTACTAGCCATCTGGATTTTCTTTGTAGTAAACTGTAGTTTAAATTGCCTCATTAAGTACCCATAGAGACCCATTCAATACCTGCAGCTGTTAGATCATTAGATGTACCAGAATGACAGCTACAAATATATTGTTGCATCAGAGTATCTCTTGCTTTTACTAAAATGTTTTTACATTTTTAATAAGCACAAGGCCAAACCATCTAGCTTACTGTACATATCTCTGCAGAAAGATCATTGCGGGACAGATCACCTATCACAACTTTGCAGTGCGAGTATTCTCCAGTGGAAATCAGGAGCGCGTGACTGGAATTGGAATATGTCTTACTTATTTGCATATGTGGGCATCATTTGCATGCTGTTAAACTGAAGGAACCTTTGATTCTGTGATCTCTTCCCAAAAGACCTCTTGCAGGTGCATAGTGAATGAGAACACTTCTGAGAAAGGTGTCTGTTTTTCTTTTTTAGCTGCAATGAAGAAGGGAGGAATTTAGAAATGCTAGGACACATAAGCAGATTGAACTGCCTATTTAATGAAAAAGTAAAGAGCTACAAAAATAAGACATGCATTTCTGAAATTAAATATACTTAAAGTTTTAATCTACTGTATGCTTTTCTCATGGGCTGTTGGCTAACTCCTTCTGAGCAACAGAAACATTTTTACAGCATTAATATAATGTCACCAGAGTCGTGAATTTTATACATAGAATAATGGCAACAGGGACATTATCTAATTTATTTTTTATGAAGACTATCCACAAGCAGTCGACCTTATGGTAATAATCTGGGATCGGGCTTTGAGTTCAGTAAATTAGAGGGCAATCAAGTTTGTGGTTATAAACAGAATGGATTCAGTACACAAGTAACAGTAGTAGAATGGGAACGAGGTAGAAGAATAACAGGACAAGCCTGAACAAATGTTATCTCAGTTCTGAAGTGGAAAGCAATGAAGAGTGGTCAGAGAATTAGCAAAGGGTCGGTACATGAGTACCAATGCATTAGGACTCAGTATTAGAAGAAGCAACAAAGAGCAAGATACTGGCAAAGGCAAAATAATCTAGGAAGTAGGAGATGCAGAGGTCTGGCTTAAGTAGGAAGCCTAGAGGAGAAGCAAGGAGTTCAGCCACAAAAAGGGTATCTATGTTGACTGACCAAGAGGTAAGGCAGAGAGTTATCCAGAACTTTAGGTGGCTTATTAGGTAGAGCCAATGCCAGGCATAGAAGAGTCCCTGACTTTAGATTCTGACATCAGCTTTGAGCCAATATATACTAACTAACCTTTCAATTTCCAGAGTTATTAAAACTTTTGTTACCTCACTGAGCAGGTGGGTAATGGGGTAGATGTAGAGGGTGGAGGAGTAAGTCAGAATTATCAGGTAGGAAGATGGGTTGCTGTAGCCAGGGGGAGTGGTAGGGGCTCACTACAAAGGAAGACCAGTCCTATGTTTGAGCACCAAAACAAATTTGCTAAGTTGAGTGAAGATGTGGAGGTGGCAAACACAAAGGTGGCAGCCCTGGATGTCACTACTACCCTGATTTCACTGCTACCCCTGACAGCCCATCTAGTATGGATTGTGAGGTTAGTGCAGGAAGGCCTAGACAGTTGGTGGTAATAGGGATTCTATAATCAGAAAAACTAATAGACTATTTTTTCAGCTGGATCGCCTCAACTGAATGGTTTGCTGTCTCCCTGGTGCCAGGGTGTGGCATGTGGTGGACCAGGATGATAAATTACTGGTAGGGGCTGGGCATGACCTAGCTGTCTTGGTCCGTGTTGGAGCCAATGACAGAATACATGGAAGGTGGAGGCTCCTTAAGAATCAATTTAAAGAACTAGGCAGCAAGTTGAAGGGACTGACCTCCAAGGTGATATTCCCTGAAATATTGCCTGTGCCATGAGCAGCACAGGACAGAAGGGAGATTAGAGAACTGAATGCATGGGGAAAGATTTGGTGTAAGAGGGAAGGATTTGAGTTTCTAGAGCACTGGGATGACGTTTCTTTGGAGTACAACCTATATGCTAAAGATGGTTTGCACCTAAATGGAAGGGGGTCTGCTGTGCTTGGTGAGAGGTTATGGGAAGGCTAGAAGAGTATTTAGAGGAGGTTGGTGTCTCTCTTGTTTTGAGAGGACATCATATGATGTCCTCCCACTCTAACTACACATGAGGGACCCCGGGGGAGTGCAGCACGGAGATCAGTGGTGCGCTGTGTCTCTGGGACACAGCGGATCCCTGATCACAGTAAAGAGCCAATGACACAGGCTCTGTCATGTGATCAGCTGTGTCCAATCACAGGTGATCACAAGTAAACAAGAAAATGCCAGTTATTGGCAGTCCTCTCCTCATGCTGACAGCTCATGAGGAGAGGAGAGCCGGTAAGCGGCTTTCCTTAGAAGGGACATCTACACTGATCATCAGGGCACTGATGATCAGTGTAGCTCCATCAGTGCCACCTGTCAGTTCCCATCAATGCCACATACCAGTGCCTACCAGTGCACATCAATGCCAAATATCAGTGCCCATCATAGTTGCATTTTAGTGCCAACTATCAGTGCCAGTCAGTGCCACCTGTCAGTGCCGCCTATCAGTGCCCATCAATGCTGCCTAACAGTTCCAATCAGTGCCGTCTATCAGTGCCCATCTTTGCTGCCTATCAGTTCCATATATGAGTGCTGCCTTTCAGTGCCCATCAGTGATGCCTGTCAATGCCCACCAGTGATGCCTGTCAATGCCCATCAGTGCCACCTACCAGTACCTCATCAGTGCCGCCTATCATTGCCCATCGATGCAGCCTATCAGTGCCCATCAATGCAGCCTCATAAATTACTTATTTACAAAATTTTATAACAGAAGCTAAGAAAAATCTTTTTTCAAAATGTTCAGTCTTTTTTAGTTTATAGTGCAAAAAATAAAAAACCCAGTGGTGATTAAATACCACCAAAAGAAAGTTCTATATGTCTAAAAATAAAAAGATAAAAATTTTGTTTGGGTGCAGTGTTGCATGACTGCGTAATTGTCATTAAAAGTGCGACAGTGCTGAAAGCTGAAAATTGGCCTGGGCAGGAAGGGGGTAAAAGTGCCCGGTAGGCAAGTGGTTATGATTGAGGGGGGAGTTCAATTCAATGGGGCAGACAGGTCAGTTAGAGGTCAGACAATAATAGAATAATGGGTGGAATGGGAATAGAAAGGGGGAGGGTTATGGCAGGTGATAAGAAGGTTCCCACAAACAACCATTGGAAATTATAGTACTATTTGTACTACTATAAAAGATATGCAAAACACAAGAGCAAAATGTGATAATGAATTAAAATGTTTTGTCCACCAATGCCAAGCAACATAGGTGAGTTGGAAGGTTTGATGCACGAAGAGAACTATATAATCAAAAGTAATATTTAGGGAAGCGCCACAAAAATATCAAATCAGAAATTAAAATGAATAAATCGGCTGCAAACCTAACCTGCAAAAAGGTGGCAATCACTATAAACAAGGTTGCGCTAATTAAACCAAGTGTATAAATAACAAACAAACAAAATATATATTGTGACTAAAATCTTTGTGACAAAAAATCTTTGTGACAAAAAATATATATACTATATAATAATATTTTGTGACAAAAAAAACTTTAGTAAAGTCCAAATCTGTGTTGAAATGAAGAAACGTATTCGTATCCAACAATAATCGTTGTGTCTGCATCCACCACCATATAAAATGAATGAACTCACCAGAGCAATATGCTGATTAGATTATAAACCAGCATACAACGCTTTCTGCTCTGGGAGCAATGTTGTGCGGAAGGATGTAATACTCTGTTGATGACACTGGCTATTCAAATGGAGCAATACTCTGCAGGGACCACTCAGCAAGATGGATCCATTTCTCAGAAGGTCTTTTCTTCAGATATCCAGACTAAATAGGGTATAGAAAAACAGAGAACTCATGGTGCAGTATTTCTAAACTTCTATTTTATTTTAAAAGTAATGCACTTACAAATAAGGGTGTCCCAGCCGACACCAGCAATGACAACGTGTACTCTAGATAAAAAAAAAATGATCCCAGCCTCAAACATGCATGCGCAAGCGGCTCAGGAACGTAATGACGTCACATCCAACAAGCTTTTCCCTACGCGTTTCGTCATCGACATCCTCACAGAGCTGATGAAGGCATACGCGTAGGGCGGAGCTTGTTGGATGCTCTAAACCAGGTGCTCCAGTGCTCAATCGACACCCCTTCATAAAAGTATAATGGTCATAGTATTCAAGTGTCCACAGTAACTTCTCATCACCACTGGGTGCAAAACGCATTCACCTTCTGTTCTGACCTACAATATATTAGGTCACAAGCTCGTTTTTGTTGATCAGTCTCTGCAGATCTACTTCCGCCTGTTAGTAGCTACTTCACCCTTACTGTCCCTTTAAGAGATCAGATTCTGTTGTTTCCACTGGGGTGATGAACACTCAGAGAAAGAAAGAATAATCTATAGTGCAACCCCATAAAATTCAATAAATCTCTTTATTAAGTCATATAACACACTCACATAGTATAGAAATATACAGAACGAAATTCCAATAACTAAAATGATTCCTCTCACCACACTTTCGGTTTCAGAACCAGATATGACATCCATTGGCTCTGCCCGACGCATTGCATTACTGGTTACGTGGCTTCCTTAGGTTACAGAACAGAAATGGGAATTCTTTAACCCCCCTGGCAGTATTCCTGAGTGTAGCTCAGGGTTAAGTTTCAGTACCAGAAGTGGTAACACCGAGCTACACTCGGGATTACACTGCAGCGTTGCTCTGGGATCCCTGGATCACTTACCTTGTCCCGCAGTCCCACGCTGTCCTCCCGCTGCATACCCGGCCATGTCCTCCGGCCAATGCCGGCATTCATCTTCTGGGTTCTGTTCCCTGCTAGCGCTGGGACGCACGGGTCGTACGGGGCACAGAACCGGTGGGAAATTCAAAAATGTCAAAATTTTACATACACATAATACTCTAAAATCTGATAGTATTAAATTACTGTATCAAACCATTTCACATACATTTTGTCCCTAGTGCTTTGTCCTGTGCCCTGCCTGCATTTTTATAGTTCTTTCTGCCTGGAAACTGAGAAACGTCCATGGTGTCCAAAAAGCGGTTTTAGACCAGCTAGAGAACAGCGATAGTGAATTAGAACCACTTGCAGAATTGAGTGATAATTATTTGTGGGGAAATTTGTCATCAGACACTGAAAATGATTCTGCAACTGAGCTCACCGATGTGCTAACGTGGCTCTCTATTTAAAATTTCAGTGTTTTTGGTTTGATTACATGATTGAATAAAATGTATGTATTATTATTATATTATTTTTTATGATTATTTATTATATTATAATTTATGATTTTGTGTTTCAAATTTTATCATAGCCGGGATGTTTACTAGACTCTTGTGCGGACAGATTTAAGTGCGTTATTCCTAAGAATTACAGGCCTACAAAAAAAAAAACAACATATTTCCATTGAAAACAATGTACCGCTTTGAGCACAGATGTGAGATGGGGAAACAGCTCTTATTGTTTGAACACTGTTTGTGTGGAGTAAATTATTGTGTGGAGTAGATTAAATGTTCTGGACTGACATTCTGTGGTTTAGCCAAAAGATTCCACTGTTTTCCTAACACAGCCTCAGACTGCATATATATTTCTATATTCATGAAGATGTGAGGTTTTTCACACAGATTTTAGAGAACCGGAACAAGAGAGACAGCAGCCATGTTCTGGAGGATGGTGAATGAAGGAGCTGTGTGAGCAGAGAATCTGATGGCATCCAGGTGTGAGAGCATCCCTCAGTAACCAGAGCTGCAGCTACGTGAAGCTGATCGTGTCCAAGACCCTGATCCTATTCAGAGAAAGGAAGATTGCTGCCAGGAATGCTGATGAGAGCAGAGGAACAAAGCAACATACACTTCGATACCACATGCTTGTTGGAGAGACATTTATTCTGTTCAGAGTCACCAGCATATGCAAAGCAGACCCGGGTCGGTAAGATCGCGTGCGCACCTCATTTCAGTGTTGTTGCCTAGAGACAGAGACCAGGCCTATAGTTAGTTAGTTAGGGTCTCTGTTTGTGTCAGGCCACAAGTGTTATTACTGATCATTGGAAGGACTCCATAACTTAACGCGACATTTCACATTGGAGAGCTGATAAGATCCCACAAACTCAAGCCAGACTGGCGTTTTGCTCAGAAGGAATGCTCAGGCACATGCTACAGGACCAGTTACGGGAAGGGAATACTGTAGATTTGTGTAAGATTGTAAGCTGTTGTGCTGCACCGCAGGCTAGCCCATACCATACACCCATACACTGATTCCTGCTCTTTTAGGGTAATAATGGGTAAGGTGTGGCAGCTTAGTTGTGCCCGCCAGTAGGTAAATTACTTCACTTTCTACCTTCATCCATCAGAAGGCGCCGTGCTGTGCAGCACAAGGGTCTCAGCCTTTGGGCTGGGTGTATGTAAATTTATTGTATGTTCCCAGCATTTGTGGTTGTGTTTATTTGCCATCTAAATAAAATTCTGTTGTGGCAAAAGCTGGTGTTGGGGTTGCTTTCCTCGTTCGTGACTTCACTGTATCCTGGGGAGCCCACCCCAGTACACGGCTTACACAGAAATACTGACATAATCATACCGCCAGGGAGGTTAAGAAACATTTGTGCATTCTGATCATTATCTTAACGTTCCTGAGTTTGCCTCTCCTTTTGTACCGTCATTTAGGAGAGGGGTTGCCATCCATTGCAAAACTGTTAGGTTGGATCAGTTTGTTGTAACCATTAACCTATACTACTTTTTTAGTACCCTGGAATACTAGATCCTATCCATGCTTAAATTGCATCCAATATCCTAGCATGATGAAAGCTCCATCCTTTATCCATCCACATAGCGTTTATAATATTAAAGGAAGTGCATAACGCACTTGCCAGTCAACATATGTAGTTTACATAATTTCATGTCCTTGAGGACTACTTTATGTTGGAGAAATGAGACAAGGGGTTAAGGACAGGATAGCAAGATATTGATATTCCATCTGTACAATTACCCATAGCCAGACACCACTCTCAATATGTCCACTTGGATTCTCATTTGTTTATTTGATTTATTTATATATTTGATTTGTTTATTTAGAAGCCCTTTTCATTACTATTCATTACTGCCTGATCATTTAGATTTGTGCTACTTCAGGTTTATATGGACATACAATGTATTTTTTTCTGTACTTTTTTCAGGTTTCTGGGAAGGAGGTTAATTTTGTGACTATTACTTTTCTGTTACTATGTATTTTTCAAATGTCAGTGTCTTCCCTTTACTTTTTGTTTCTTTATACAGATTATCAGCATTCTTTTGTTTGGTGTATGGTGTATGGTGTGATATGGGGGTACTTAGCTCTTGTAGTCAATGCGTTTTGTATCATGAGTCCGTGGCAGACAGGGACTTTAGCTAAAGGCGAGGTAGCCCACTTTTATTAAAAGGAAACAAAGTCATTATAACATGATTTCCCACAAAGGGGTCTCAGGTTCACAACAAAAGAAAAATGCAGAGGGACCTGGCTCTTAAACTCACTCAGCTTTAAATTGCAGTATCCTGCTGCATGGGCCCACTCTTAGCTCCTTAGATAGAGGTTCTACTGATACCCCAGGTGCTAGCACTCCACCGAGACTCACAGATTCCTCTGGCTCCCCTGGACTCTCTCCCATTTGCCTCAGCTCTAGTCTCCCAGATTCTTGCAGTCTTTCAGACTCTCTCAGTCGAGTGGCCTGGAACTTCTCCCACATGGAGTGCTGTGTC